GCACAGCGCCATACAAGGCGCTGGTAAGCACAGCGCCATACAAGGCGCTGGTAAGCACAGCGCCATACAAGGCGCTGGTAAGCACAGCGCCATACAAGGCGCTGGTAAGCACAGCGCCATACAAGGCGCTGGTAAGCACAGCGCCATACAAGGCGCTGGTAAGCACAGCGCCATACAAGGCGCTGGTAAGCACAGCGCCATACAAGGCGCTGGTAAGCACAGCGCCATACAAGGCGCTGGTAAGCACAGCGCCATACAAGGCGCTGGTAAGCACAGCGCCATACAAGGCGCTGGTAAGCACAGCGCCATACAAGGCGCTGGTAAGCACAGCGCCATACAAGGCGCTGGTAAGCACAGCGCCATACAAGGCGCTGGTAAGCACAGCGCCATACAAGGCGCTGGTAAGCACAGCGCCATACAAGGCGCTGGTAAGCACAGCGCCATACAAGGCGCTGGTAAGCACAGCGCCATACAAGGCGCTGGTAAGCACAGCGCCATACAAGGCGCTGGTAAGCACAGCGCCATACAAGGCGCTGGTAAGCACAGCGCCATACAAGGCGCTGGTAAGCACAGCGCCATACAAGGCGCTGGTAAGCACAGCGCCATACAAGGCGCTGGTAAGCACAGCGCCATACAAGGCGCTGGTAAGCACAGCACCATACAAGGCGCTGGTAAGCACAGCGCCATACAAGGCGCTGGTAAGCACAGCGCCATACAAGGCGCTGGTAAGCACAGCGCCATACAAGGCGCTGGTAAGCACAGCACCATACAAGGCGCTGGTAAGCACAGCGCCATACAAGGCGCTGGTAAGCACAGCACCATACAAGGCGCTGGTAAGCACAGCGCCATACAAGGCGCTGGTAAGCACAGCGCATACAAGGCGCTGGTAAGCACAGCGCCATACAAGGCGCTGGTAACAACAGCACCATACAAGGCGCTGGTAAGCACAGCGTCATACAAGGCGCTGGTAAGCACAGCGCCATACAAGGCGCTGGTAAGCACAGGGCCATACAAGGCGCTGGTAAGCACAGCGCCATACAAGGCGCTGGTAAGCACAGCGCCATACAAGGCGCTGGTAAGCACAGCGCCCATGATTAACTCAACAATATATCAGCCCCCCCCACCCCCCGTTGTGCTATCATCCAACTTAATAATATTACAAATTTCATGACGTGTATTCATTTAATTACTTAACAATTTTGTATCCCGCCCCTAAAAATAAACAAATAAAACTTAAACTAATTAACTCCCGGAACATATGGTCCGCGCCTTGTTTGGCAAACTGTGCCGAGATACTTTAGGAAAAATGAATTGTTGAAGAAATGACAGGAAAATATATGATGTACACCTTTCGAAAATTTGAGTCATAAATTTGCAATATATTGCCAATTAAACTGGGTTACGACCCATTGTGGACCATTGGTGTTGATGATTGATTGCCTGATTTAGGAATCATTTCTCTGGTACCAAACCAGAGAGGTCAATAATACCATACAGAATTGTCTGTATACAAGAGAATGTCTGTCTGCTTGTTTGAAGGACTGTAGGCTAGATGGTTCCAGTGAACCTCAGGCAACTTTCCACGGTTAATTGTAATTGTATGGGGAGTGTCGTAGGGGAAATCAGGGTAGTGACGCCCCATGCCCCTCATTAAGTAGGATTGGCTCCAATTGACAAAATCATCGACTCCTGTGACGTCTAACATGCGGGTTTAATTGTTCATAGAAGGCAACTATCAGGAGAGAGCACCAAGCCGTTACGACACTTTTCTTTTATTTTAATGTAATTTTTTGTACATGTATGTAAATTTTTACATATATTATATTTCAGTGTGTGGGTTGAACTTTTTACAGCAA